TAGGTATCAGGACAGCTCCATTGTGCCCACAATCCCGTGGAATGGTGGAGAAAATGAACAGAAGAATCACTACCACTACCACTACCACTATACCTTATGGTTTATCGGTCTTTGGTGCACGACACTACCGTACAGACTCCTTCAAATCTTATATTTTGAAGAGAAATAAGGCTTCCATGTAAACTGAAGTTTGAATACAGGTTTGGAGAGCGCATCGTTCGTCAGAACAAAACACTGTTTGCCATCCTCGCCCATTGAGCACGGTCTAAGCCCCCAAACCCAACCTAAGTAACCATGCTAGTGCTAATAAGGGAATGAGAGCGCCCAGCCTCGGTTGCTCAACCGGGGAGGTTCTCGAGCCCGTACATCTATTAGAGACTATGTCTAAAAGTCCTAAGGAGTTGCTCACCGAAGCAACCACATGCCTGAATCGTATTGCGAAAGCATCTTCTAAAAAGCTCGACTCCAAATTGAGTTTTACCAGGGAGGACTAATAGTACATCCTGCAACTCCCCAGGAATTGCTGTCTCTCATAGTGGAAGTCTCTTGGCCCCCCTTGAGAAGGTGGTAAGGTTATCGTTCCTTCAAGGACTTATTAGTAACATACCACCGGTCACTAAAGCGCAATTTTTTTTAACAAACAAATTAGTTTCCTTAGTGATAATCTCATATTTTTCCAAAAGAATCTAAAAAAAAAGATGAAAATTTTCTACTGTTACACCCTCCGTAGCTCTGGAACGGTTCAATTTAGCAAGATTATATTATACGAGGTCATTTTTGTTCCCAATTTACTGTAGATTATTTTTGTATACGGCACTTTTCGTACTACACCACATAGTTTGCTAAATATTTAAGAACAACTAATCAAAACTACTAATTTTCCAACTTTCCTCCTCCCTCCCAACCAAACCCGACGCTTAAAATGATGTAACTTTCTACCAAACAATCTGGGGACTGTATAGAACAATTTGCAGTTGGAGGGAAACTTTTACTTTGGATGTTGAGGTTTGGGTCTAATTGCACTGTACTATAATAGTCCAGTCAAATTAGCGCAATTTTGGACAAATAAAAACATTAATCGGTAAAGATCTGAATTTTGGTATACACATTTATTGGGACTTTCTATTGAACATACTAAAAGTCCCTGTCAAAATCTGTTGCGCTCGAGACGCCATCTTGGAAAAACGGTACACTTTTCCAGTTTTTTGCCCATGTCTCGGCAACTATTACTGATACGAAGAAATAGTTTACATGAAAAATATAGTTTACTAAATTCCCTATAAAAAAGAGTATTTACATTTTTTTGTATCTCCCATACTTTAGCTGTAATCTCACGTTGAATGCGTCAGAAAGCGTTTAGGCCCCGCATCGTAGTTATAGGAAGGAGGCCGTCTTTTTTATGGCTACACCGAAAGCTGTAAAAGCACCAAAAAATGAACAGAATCGTCTTGCGATAAAGCATTCTAGCAATGACATAATGTTTCATGATACGACATCATGTTTTTTTTCAAAAAGGTAAGCGAAAATGATTAAAATTGTTGGGGCCACGAAATGATTTCTGAAGCTGGAGAACGCCGTTCTCTGCATACAACGTGCCTGCTAGTGAGAGATATTTAAACCGACATCGTTATCAGACCTGCAGAAAATACGCATACAAGGGTCAGCCGAATCTAACCGCACTGTTACCCCCTACGGCTGCAGCGGCGCAGCAACACACGTTTCGTATTAATCAGCAAGTTCAGAAGGTTTGTGGATATGAAAAATCTCCCGAACTGTGGAGTTGAAGGAGAGTCCACGATTTCCTTGACCCTGTTCGGTCACTGAAGGCTTCCAGTCCACACTCAGTGCTTAACTGCTCACATTGAAGATGAAAGTTCTATTGAGAGAGAGAGAGAGAGAGAGAGAGAGTTTTATGAGAAACCTTTAAACGTGTCTCATACCAAGCTTGAGTGCGACGACTTCTCATATATAAGAAATACTGGCACAATTTTCAATAAATTTAATGATTTGTAAAAAGTTGTAAAAAAATATCTGCGCGACTGTTTCGAGAGCTCAGGATACTTGATTCCCTATTCGATGTCGGATTATAGCTAAAGTATTGGACATACAAAAAAATGTTAATGTGCTTTTTTATGGGCAATTTAATAAACTATATTTTTTATCTGAGCTATTTTTCCGTGTCAATAATTGTTGCCGATATATAGGCAAGAAACTGAACAAGTGCTCCTTTTTTCCAAGATGGTGCCTCGAGCGCAACAGATTTTGACGGGGACTTTTAGTATGTCCAATGGGGAACACTAATGAACATGTTTACCAAAATTCAGATCTTTACCAATTAATGTTTTTATTTTTTCTTATTTGACTGGACTATAAGCCATTATAAGAGAACAAGTTGTGGGCAGATGATTCAGTCTATATGTGATAAACAAATCCAGGTAACCTCCACTAAGGAAAAAGTGTCCAACTCGCACATTATCCGCAAAACTTACAGGAGGCAGTAAAATTCCGGTCGCTCAAATCCCAGAACTGGCATCTAAAATGGGACTTAGCTTGGCAGAGGCTACGAGACAAGTAATAAACAGAACGCCTAAACCGGCACGCAAAAAGTACATACTGGATATGTCAACGAATCTATTAGACAAGCCATAATTTCTAGAGTCTTAGGTGTATCAAAATGAGATATGGTACAGGTAATTGGTACGTGAAGAGGAGAGATTTCGCATATTTTTCTCTTTTTCCGCTCACTTCCATGTTTTGAATTTTGAAATGGAACACATTGTATATTTTTACATTTTTGGATAAAAATAATAAATTAGTATCGTCAGATTCGTCAAAAAGTCCTTTTTTCGGAAAGTGCTTGTCAAAAAAGGGTTGCCATTTGAAAATACTAGCGTTCTTTACACTGTGATACTAGTTAGACACGAAAATGCAATTTTGCCAAATTGTTTTATTTTTGTCTCTCATAGCAGCCACTAAAACTTTGCGATTGTAATTTTCTGAGATCACCTAAGGTCCTTAGAGTAGTTTGGGTCTAATCATGGCCACCTAGATGCGATTAGTGGCTCTAATCAAAATCAAGTAGGCGTAAACACTTTTGAAAAGGTCACATTCTGATTCAGAATTGTCTCAGAAATCCAAAAATATAAAAATATACAAGGTGTTCTATTTAAAAATTCAAAACCTGGATCATTTCGGGTGAAACCGAAAGTGAGCGGAAAGAGAAAAATATGCGAAAACTCTCCAATTCATATGTACCATTTTCTAGGATTTAAAAGGATTTCAGAAACTTCATACAATCTTCTTAGAATTTTCTTACAATCTTGTGGGAAACTTTAGAGAAAACTGTCAGAGTCATTATAGGATCTTTTTTTTAGAATCTTGAGGGCCTTCAGAACTATTGTAATCACTCTGCGTAGAATTTTCTGAGGTTCATCCTAGGATTTTTTTACTTTCTTTTTACAACCCTCTGATGTTTCTGTTCTGTTTTGAGTCTTCTAAACGCCCTTTTATAATCTTCTTAGTATGTTTCAAAGATCTCCCTAGAATCTTTTTGCGCTTACTGATGTAGAGGCTACTTGTACCCAATAAAACTAATTTTCTAAAATTCCACAATTAGGCGGAATGCGTATAGTGCTGAAATGTTTCATATAAGTACCAGTTCGGGATTCGTCCTTTGCGATATGTAAATTGCAGCAGTTTATGTACGAATTTACTGTGCAACCTGAATTGTTATTTTATTTGCAGTGTATTGTGTCACGTTATTCTTCGCTATTACAAACAAAGAAATAGAAATATTTAAATGATGGTAAAAGAAATAAAATTTCATCAGTCAATGAATTATCACGGTGCATTCTCATATCGCTAAGTTGTTTTTAATTTTCTTTCAAAAATGAATGGCCTTAAATTAAACTTCTGTGTGAGTAATACTTCTAATTGGACAAACAACCTGTAAATAATGAAAATTAAATTATTCAATTTTAAAAACAATCTATTTTTGAAGCCATTACCTATTTCTACCGACCCGTTAACGACTTGTTATTAAAGGTTTAGATAAGGGAATAGCTTTGTTTGCAAATGAACTTTATTTGTTTTTAGATTATAGTTCAACGCCTATATTAATAGAATCTAAAAATACATCTTTATGATTGGAAATGTTTACCAGGTAGGATCCTAAAAAATAATTCACTATGATAAAAGTTGTTAAAAAAAGGCAGCGTAAATGTTTTTCATCTTAAAATGACGGAAGACACTGATAAAGTGGTTAATTGTACTATAATTTTGAAGCAAGTGTTCATTATGGAATAAGCAAAAAAGAGTTGTGAATGTTAGATATTTGGCGGGTCTCCAAAATTGTAGCGGCCAAACAAGTTATTTAGGAGAGCATAGGCACGTTTTTAAAATGATAGTTTATAAAATAATGGATTTATTACAAACAGTCACTCAACAGTTCTAATTTCTGAGAATCAAGCATCGATTGACTAGATTTAGACGCTGTCAATGAAACCATAGAGAGAGGGTCTACATGTCGTAGTTGACGTTGAGAGCTGTTGTTTATTTGCATTAACACAATTTTTTTGTAGACGATTGGACTGATGTTACAGTTGGAGACAAGCCCTAAATAGTCATAACTTTCCACTACAGTACAAAATAAATTGGGGCCTTCCCTCGTTCTAATTTTGGAAAATTATTTGTGCTTTTAACTAGGCGACTATAGCACATCTCGCTTAACGCCATATAAATTAAGAGCCTTCTTTACGTTCCATCACAATAGACGAGTAATTGCCGTTAGTTTCGAATGGGTCAAGTTTTCATTAAAAGTCTTATGTCCTCCCATTAAACCGAGATGCTTAGGTTTACTCCAAAGGGAAATGTATTTCTTCGAAATAACCAGAATTGACGTAAACGTCTTCAGTTTCAGTCTCAATTGAGTAATTGACGTCAAAGTAGAACCTTGCCATAAGCTTTTTGCCAAAAAATTAAAAAAAACGCTTTAAGGATAATGACATTTATTTCGTGTATAACTTTAGCTAAATTAAATAGTACTTTCATAGTAAAATGGCCTACGGATTTTTTTTTCCCATTGAGATAGCAGGAGATAGCGACTCAGTAAAAAACAAAATCCGGCACAAACTGGATATGAGGTTATCATTAACGATTTTTGCCAAATGAGTTTTACAATGGGAATACACTGATAAACTTCGACCTACATCATCTTCTGCTCTTCACTCTCTTCCATATCAGAGGGCGTCTTCACCTTTCTGCATTTCATTTCTTTTCTAAAAATAGAAAATATTACATCATTTATAGTTTTAACGGTGATGCCGAACGGTATCGAACGATTTTGCGGTTTTCCTTTAATTACGACAAAAGTCGTTAGAAAAAAACAGGAAACACGTTAATTGGGTTCCTAAGATCTTATAGAAATATCATTTTTAATCTATAGCGGAATAGCTTTTTCCCTATTCGACCTTGGATATAATACTATGTATGTGTGATAAACAATTTTTATCGCTAGCGTACGCATAATTAAAAAAATCGTAATATCTTTATTATTTGATTGTGTACCGCAATTTATTTTGGTGTAAAAATAGCGGCAATGGAAGTGCTTTAGTGGTTTTTTTTGCTTACACCACAAGTTTTAATAACCTGGATTGACTAATATGGCCATCGCATCATTTTATCACTACAACTTTGTTTTGCATAGCCATTTACTCCCAAATAGAAACTGTTTTGCCATTTTGAGGTAGGGTTTCTGGAAAATGTATACACAGTCTAAAATGCATATTCAAAAACCTAGGTGTTATTTTCATGTATTCGTGTGTTTCATAAAAACAATATTAAATAAGAAAGGAAACTTTTGGAGAGGTAGCACCTCCAAACGCAAACTTTGTAATTTTGGAAAATTTAAAAAAAAGTTAATTTTGGTCCCCTCTCCCACCCAATTTTGTTTGATATACTTCTCTACTACACTCTTCAGAAGCTTCTATTAAAACTTTTATGTAGATCAAAACACATTCATTGGGCAGCGTGTCTAGGTCCACCTTTCACTTTCTCTACTTCGATATCTCGGAGATAAGTAAATTAGTGTTTAGCGATTGTCATGAAGCTCAGTCTCCCTTTCTCAAGACTTTTTTAAATGGTAATTACTTTTTTAGGGAAATGTTTCTATTAAACGTCAACCTTGTATCAACCATACCTGCCCGTCAATAATTTCAGATGGGATAGGAGTTGATTATCCATTTTAACTGTCAATTCTGTGTGATATTCATTGTACACCCCCGCAAGGATACATTGCCTACCCTTTCAGTGCGAAACAACTTGATTTTCTGATGTAGTGCCGTTGCAGTACAATAATCATACTTTTGCAGGTCCCTGATGGCTCTTCTCCATGACTCTATATCATCTGCTCTTTACTACTTCATATCCTTCTTCCTTTTTCAGGTCGTCGCCCAATTTCCTTCTTCTTTTCTCTCTTTTCCTTTCTCCCTGAACATTTCCCGCGATTACTTCCTTCAACGAACAGTTCTTTCTTATTACATGTCCAATCCAATTCATTTTCCTTCGGTTTATGATCTTTAACATACATCATACATCTCCGCTCTCCAATTCTACTTAATCCTTCTACATTACCTATCAGTCCGTTTGATATTCATCGTTCTTCTCCATATCCATATTTAAAAAGTTTCAAACCTTTCCCGATCTCTTTTCATTGCTGTCCACGTTTCATTACCTAACGTTAGAACACTCCAGGCAAAACGTTTTGGCAACCTTTTTTTAACGTAACAATAAAATTATTTTCTTTGCAAAACTCAATCAGGTTATCTTCTCTTTCAGTCCTTTCTCCGAATCCATATTTTCCAACCACTCCCGTCCCCTCCCACACTGGCATTCGAATCTCCCATCAGAATCTTACAGCATCTCTGTTTTTCCTTACTAATTATTCCCCTAATTCTTTCGTACAGGTTTTCTATTTCTTCATCATCATGATCACTTGTCGGGATGTATACCTGGATGACTGGTATTGTTCTTGGTATCGCATCTACTCTCATTGGTATGATTCTATCACAGTAGTTTGGTAACGCTTGACTGCATCTTCTTATTAACCACAAATTCCACTATTTCTTCCTTTTTTTAAATCTCCACTATAATAGAATGTGAAATGTTCTCCTTTCTCTACCCCGCACATAAAGTCCAAATTAGTTCTAACCATTTCTCTTTTCAAGTTTTCTAGTTTTTCGACTTGAAGAAGGTTTTTAACATTCCACATCCAGAATACTCTCTTTCTTCCTGTATGCAAACTTCGTATACGTTTCCTCCCGGAAATCCGATTGAGGAGATCTTTTACTTTCAGTATTAACTTTACTATGTGATGTAACTATTTTTGTTCATTTCTCATTTGTCTCACCGTCAACTAGGGATCCCCGTTGGAGGATTTCTCTCTACAACCACAAGAGGGTGCTCTTCTCCCTACCGCTCGTTCGCCATGTAATCGTTGGCACTAGATGGAAGTTGTTTCTTTATCCTGGGAGTCATTCGGTTCCAGTTCAGTTGCCTTTTACGACAGATAGGGAATACCACAGGCTAATTTTATTCTTTCTCCAAATGTAAGGGCCATTTGCAATTACCAACTATAAATAAATTCCTTCTCTTTTTAAACTTACGTAAATTTCTAGAAAATCCAGTCTTGTACAGTGTGTCCTATTTTGGTTGAGACTGTAGTGTATCTCAGCTTTTGTTGAAGCTAGAGACTTGCGGTTTTCGCGACCCTGTGCCACTTTTTGTGAAACTTTTAATGCCACAAAATGACTAACAGAAATTTGGCACCCCCACTTTGCTCAAATCAACTAAAACTATTTCCTATAATTTAGGAAATTATAGACTAAGTTGTACTTACAAAATTAGAATTTGTATGAGCTTAGTTCTGCCGGAAAACCGATTTTTAAAGTAAGTTTTCCCGATTGAAATTTTAGTAGTTGCAGCAAAAACTATGAATTAAAGACTAATTTGTACAAGGAGAATGAGTACAAGCGCGAGCACAATTTTCTGGCAATTTTAGTAATTTTTTGGTAATTTCAGTAATTGTAATTCAGTATACAGGGTGTTACATATAAGTATGTAAAAAAAATTGGTGTGAGAGGCGATCAATACAAGCACTTTTTCCAAATTAACCGAGAGTGTTTCATTTTGAGAGCCACCACCACAAAAGTGGTAAAATTTCCATTTCTTTAATTTTTTTCTCAGCAACCGTAAGAGTTAGAAAGATGGGTGGCACGTCTTTGAATAGGTTTTCGGCAGGGTTTTCGGGTATGCCCTTTCCGATTTTGCAAACATTTTTTCAAAATTCCTACGATGAAAAGGAGCGTCCCTAAATGTTTTTCAACATTAATATCGACTTAAATCGTTATTTTTTGCTATTTGCGAGATTTTCAATTAACTACGTGCGAAATTAGATCACTCACTAGTAGGCAGGGGACACTTTGTGACCCGAAGGCTCAATCTTCAAATGAGTAACTTTTCTTTCAAAAATGATTTAAAAAAATTGTTCGACAATCGACATCAAGTATGTACCTACACAACGAATTTCGTGGAATTCTCTCGATTTGCGTTGTCCGACCAAGAATAGCAGTGGAATTTTTCTTTAGAATTTTCAAACATTTCAGATTCGTGATACTCATATTCAAAAACCCCCAGATACCACATTTCGTCGAAATCCGAATTTTTTTTCGAACCCCCATTTAGGGGTGGGCCCTTTCGTGGTACGAATTTTAAAAAAATTGTTGCAAAATCGGAATGGGCATACCCGTAAACCTATTCAAAAATGTACCACCAGTCTTTCTAACTCTTATGGTTGCTAAGAAAAAAATTAAAGAAGAAATGGAAATTTTATTTTGATCCCCTATACCACCCAAATTTTTTTTAGATACTTATATAAAAGATATCGAGCCAGACACCAAAATCTGAACATTGGGTTCATTTCACCCCGCAGTCGTGGTTAATAATTATTTATATTGTATAAACGATAATAGCAACATCTACCACACAAAGTATAATAGTACATACAATAATAATTTGTTCTTGATGTTTATTATTTATTTGTACTACCTATGTATTTATTAAAACTTCATTATAAAATGTTATATTTTTATAATACAGTAATAATAAATAGACGAATTAAGAATCTAATCTAAGCTGCATCTTCTGTTGGAGGAAGTGATGCAGTTTGAACGCTTTTGGTCTTCTTAGTTGTTCGTCAAATCATTAAATAAATAAGAAATCGAGGCCATTACCCACGTATCTACGATCCTTTAAAACTTCATTTTGTTATAAATATTGCGAAAAAAAAATTAAAAAATCAATTATTTCGGTAAATGTTGCTATTAGTGTTTAAGCAATATAAATAACTATTAAGCACGACTTCGGGAGACTTCTTTGATACTAAATTTTCAATAAAAACAATTGGTATCGCGAACAAGAATTTTAAATAAATTTTTTTTCCGTAAATTCAGTTATTGTTTAAACAATATAAACATTTTTTTTTCCTGAAATTGGGATGTTTCTGATTTTGAATAATTCTACAAAATACGCATTTTCAAAATCGGAGCCATTGCTCAGAATTAAGAAGTGTCAATTTTTAAGCTCATTGACTCGATTACGAGTATATTGAAGACAATTTTTTTTCGATTTCAAAAACGGATAGATATACGACTTTTTTGTCGAGTATGTAAATGCAGTAAATGTTTGGTAAATTTGGTAAATTATTGGTAATTTTAGTAAATTATTGGTAAATTCAGTAAATTATTTGTAAGTTTAGTAAGTCGTTAGTATAATTTATGTAATTTTTGTAAATGGTGTGCGACATTTTTCTGAGTGGTCGACCCCTTGGATATTAACCAAATTTCTATATGAAAATTGAAATTATATATTACAATACGATTTCCGGTAAAATTTAATACAAAATGGCACTACTTGACTCAGAAATTAAATATTTCCTCGCCAGTAATATGCCATTTACGATTTACCGGACTTTTTATGTAAATAACTGTTGTCTCTCTGATAGATCATATTTAAATGATCTATAAACAACTCCGCCAATTGCCAACTAAAAATATATTTCTTTCTCGTTTTAAACGTAAATTTCTAGAAAATTCATACTTATGTACAGGGTGGTTCAAAATCGTGACTCACTATTGGGATCTCCGTAACGGTATGAGATACAAGTGTAGGTTAAATGGAGGCAAAGCCATGTTTAAATTGTTTAAATACTACTTCTTATTTC